AAAGAATTTTGTTTGTAGAATAAATTTTAGTGTGTTGTTAAAAAGTTAAAAATAAAAGGGAAGACTCAGAATTCTGTTCTGAGGGCTAGTGTTTGTACTAAAAGATTTAGCAATGATGATTTCTTTTATTTCAAGTAGAAGAAAATTAATTTTAGTGTTGATCTTATGATATTTTGGCATTACTAGAATTATACTGAAAAGAGTACGACTTTAAAGACATTGTAGAATGCCTTTATGTAGATGCAGTGTGTTTATACATTGTATAGGCAAATACAGTGTACTTAATTTTTTAAAAATTCATACAGCTTTTAAAAAACTAGAGAAAGTAGTACTCTTAAAGCCTCTTAAGTCATTTCCCCCATGTGTATCCCCACTTCTCTCCTCATCCACCCCAGGTAATTATTATAAATGTTTTGATATTTCACACTCTTTCTGTGTATATTCAGTTCAGTTCAGTTGCTCAGTTGTGTCCAACTCTTTGCCACCCCATGGACTGCAGCATGCTAGGCTTCCCTGTCCATCACTGACTCCCAGAGTTTACTGAAACTCATGTCCATAGCATTGGTGATGCCATCCAACCATCTCATCCTCTATCGTCCCCTTCTCCTCCCGCCTTCAGCCTTTCCCAGCATCAAGGTCTTTTCCAATGAGTTGGTCCTTCGCATCAGGTGGCCAAAGTATTGGAGTTTCAGCTTCAGCATCAGTCCCAGAGTTTACTCAAACTCATGTCCATAGCATTGGTGATGCCATCCAACCATCTCATCCTCTATCGTCCCCTTCTCCTCCCGCCTTCAGTCTTTCCCAGCATCAAGGTCTTTTCCAATGAGTTGGTCCTTCGCATCAGGTGGCCAAAGTATTGGAGTTTCAGCTTCAGCATCAGTCCTTCCAATGAATATTCAGGACTGATTTTTCTTTAGGATGGACTGGTTGGATCTCCTTGCAGTCTAAGCGACTCTCAAGAGTCTTCTCCAACACCACAGTTCAAAAGCATCAATTCTTTGGTGCTCAGCTTTCTTTATAGTCCAACTTTCACATCCATACATGACTACTGGACAAAGCATAGCTTTGACTAGATGGACCTTTGATGGCAAAGTAATGTCTCTGCTTTTTAATATGCTGTCTGTCTAGGTTGGTCATAGCTTTTCTTCCAAGGAGCAAGTGTCTTTTAATTTCATGGCTGCAGTCACCATCTGCAGTGATTTTAGAGCCCCCCAAAATAAAGTCTGTCACTGTTTCCATTGTTTCCCCATCTATTTGCCGTGAAGTGGTGGGACCAGATGCCATAGTCTTAGTTTTCTGAATGTTGAGTGAAAAAGCCAACTTTTTATCTTTCCTCTTTCACTTTCATCAAGAGGCTCTTTAGTTCTTCTTCGCTTCCTGCCATAAGAGTGGTGTCATCTGTGTATCTGAGGTTATTGATGTTTCTCCTGGCAATCTTGATTCCAGCTTGTGCTTCCTCCAGCCCAGCATTTCACATGATGTCCTCTGCATATAAGTTAAATAAGCAGGGTGACAGTATATGTATACAATATACATATATATGTATGTACTTTAAAAAATAAATAGCAGAATAATAATTTCAAACACTTACATAGTACTTTGCTTTGTACCAGATACTATTCTAAGTACTTAACATATATTAACTATGTTGTTGTTGCTTAGTCACTAAGTATGTCTGACTCCTTTGTGGCCCCATGGACTACAGCCTGCCAGGCTTCTTTGTCCATGGTGTTCTCCAGGCAGGAATACTGGAGTGGGCTGCCATTACCTCCTCCTGGCTGCCATCTTCTCCTCCAGATTCCTCTGACCCAGGAATCGAACCCGTGTCCCCTGTGTCTCCTGCAGTGGCTGGTGGATTCTTTACCACTGAGCCGCTTGGGAAGCCCTGTTCTGTATGATACTACACAGTAAATACACAGAAGCACCACCGCTTGTAGAGCATGCACGCACGTGACAGTGTACACCAGATGGAACTAACTTACATAGTTGGACTTGAAAATGCACATTTGCATCTTTGAAGGTTTGCAACTTGAATGTTCATATATAGGGAATTTAATATATTTTCCATTGATTCATATAATCCTTATCCAGTACTACACACTATTTTGATTACTGTACTTTTGTAGTAAGTTTTGAAGTTTGAAAGTGAGAGTTGTCTAACTTTGTTCTTTGTTAAGATTGTTTTGGATATTTGGGTCTCTTGAAATTCCATATGAATTTTAGGATGTGTTTTTCTATTTCTTGGGGATTTTGATGGAGATTCCATTGAATCTGTGGACTACCTTGGGTAGTAGTGTCATCTTAATATCAATTCTACCAATTCATGAACATGGGGTGTCTTTATACTTAATTAGATCTTTAATTTCTCTTAGCAGTGTTTTGTAGTTTTCAGTACCTCTTTGATTAAATTTATCCCTAAGTGTCTTGTTATTTTTGGTACTACTGTATATGGAGTTGATACAGCTGAAGGCTGTTTTATTGAGTTCTCCATCTCTTTTTTTTTTCTTGCAGTGTTTTGTTAAAGAAACTGCACTTTTTGTCCCATGATCTGAATCTTGCTAATCATATTTCTGTGAATTCATTTAATATGCTCCTTATTCACAGTATTTCCTTTAAGTTGACCATTCTATAAGCATCACCATATTCAGGTTTAAGTTTTATTTTATGATTTCTTCATGTGGTACTTTGTTTAGTAGTTATATAGTTTCTTGTTTCCTCTTTTCATGATGTTAGAGCTACCAATGATCATTTCCTATACCCATTCATTTATTGGGAGTCACCAAATGGAGATATTCTACCTTTGCCATCACTTCTTTATTTGTTGTCTAGAGTATTTTTTATAGAGAAACTTCTCATCAACTATGTGGGTATACTGAAGTCTAGTTTGTGTTAGAAAAGCATGTTTTCTGTTTTTTTTCTGTTCTGTTTTTTCCCCTGTTTTGTGAATTTTCATAGTAGTAAATTGATTCCCTAGCAACCCTTGAGAAGTGACCAATAAGCTTTTGGGGGAATCATCAGTCTTATTAACTTATGAATGTAAATATATTGATATACTATTCTTTTAGTGAGTAGTGAAAGTCTCCTGGTGCTGAAAGTTCTTTTAACCTAACCATAGTAGTTTAGCTATTAATCATAACTTCCTTGGTTTTTAGTATGATAAGGTATTCCACGCTTATGTTAAGCATTTTCTGTCCTAAACTTGGCTTTTCCCCAAGGAGCCCTGGTTCCTTTTAGTGGGAAATAGTATATTTAGAAATCATAATTTTAGTGCTAGAGATTTGTCATTGTTTGTAGGTCTCACCCAGAACTGTGCATTACTACATTGTCTTCACTTCATAAATCTTAACATCGGCATTTTCTGTACCTTAAAAGCAAATTCCTAAATAATTATTTACTTGCTTTATTCTCCAGTACTCACACAACAGTTGTAGAATAGCACTACTAATCACTATATCCACAGTATGATTAGTGAAAACAGACTAAGATTTTTTGAAGTTTTTTTTAATCCTTAGAATATGTTCCATTAGGGATATATAGTCAAATTGCTTTCTCTTGACACATTATTTGGAATAGTTCCTCTCTTTCTGATAATGCCGCTAACTTGGCTATACATTTGTGCGTGTGCTCAGTGGCTTCAGTCATGTCCAACTCTTCTTGACCCTATGGACTGTAGCTCGCCAGGCTCCTCTGTCCATGGGATTCTCCAGGCAAGAATGCTAGAATGGATTGCCATGTCCTCCTCCAGGGGGTCCTCCAGACCCAGGGATTGAACCTGAGTCTCCTGCATCTTTTGCATTGGCAGGCAGGTTCTTTACCTCTGCACCACCTGGGAAATCCACATCCTTCATGGGAGGGATGCAGCCGCACCCCAGAACCCTTTAGGAATAAACATCCCAATCTCACCAGTCCTCCAGCATCTGGCAGTCTTCTCCACCCACTTGACCCAACCAGCCATGGGGCAGGGAGGAGGCTGTTGATGCTGCCTGTGAGAGCAGGCTCCCTTGGGGAATAGAGTGCAGGGGAGGAGGACAGAGAGTGGATCTCAGGGCAGACAGGTCTTGTAGCACCTTATGGATGGTGCATTTTTTCCCTCTCATCTCACACCCCTTATCCCACCACCACCAATGAAATGATAAATTTTTTGTAGGCAGAGATTATTTTATCTTTCTTTAAAAAATTTTTTTTAAATTTTATGTTGGAGTAAAGTTGATTAAAAATGTTGTGCTAGTTTTGGGTGTACAGCAAAGTGTTTTAGTTACATATGAATGTGTATCTGTTCTTTTTCAAATTCTTGGAGCTTACAGTGACCAGTGACATCTGATGTACCTGACAGATATAGAGAAGAATAGAGTGAAACCATCTATAACTAACAGGTTTATTCTTTGTGATATTCCTGCAAGTAGACTATATAGGCCCGAAAATAGGCCCATGGTTGTAGACAGAAAGCTCTACTTTTTTTTCAAGCCTTTTGTTTTTCTAGCAAATATAATTGTTTTCTTTTCTATTTATACATTAATTTGAAAAATCATTTGAAAGCCAGTCTTGAATGAAGATAGTTATTAAAATGGGAAGTTTACATAGGTTCTCTGAATATGCACAAAACACCCAGTTTCCAACAGTGGAAGCTTGTTCATGATTTTAATGTTCTTGTCAATTAATGGCAAAGGTTAAGAAGACAGGAGTGCTGAATGCTCTGGAGGTTGAAATAATAGCAAGGATCTTGATAAAGAATTTCTTAAGGAGTGGATGATGTGATGATGTTAAATTCTTAAGTGCTAATTCGATTTATTTTAATTTTACTGTAAGATAGGCTCAGAGATTGCACACTTTTGACCTTAGGAAAAGCTGTCTTATTGTTAATATGTAGATGCCTGCAAGGACTTAACAGGGGCTTACATATTTGAAAAATGAATTAAAAGAGAGAGCATATATTTAAGAAAATTCAGTGCCTAATTTCAGTGACACAGACTCTATATCAGTATTTAAAAATCCTAATTGACATGTTTATCTTTGGTTTTCTAGTGATATGCAGCTTTCGAGGATCTGTTCCCCAAGGCTTGGTCTTAGAAATAGGAGAAACAGTCCAGATTCTTGAAAAGTGTGAGGGTAAGTATGGACCTATAAATTATAAGACACAAATAGTGATCATTTTTGGCAGTATTATATATGTTTATTTTGTAGTACTGGTTAATAAGCAATCTTTTTGAAGTCATGATTAATCATATTATGATACACTGCTGTAAAATCATTCCTGATCTCTGTTCAGCATAGCTGATGAGTAATTTGGCTCGCATCTAATAGCAACAATGAAATAACTATTGTTGGCTGTCAGAACATGTTTTTTTATATACTATGTCAAGTAATTATTTTTAATTTCCTACAATCACATAGATAATATTTTACTCCTCATTATCTGCATTTGAATAGAATTGAATTACAATCAGTTCATTTGTATGTTTCTGTCTGGCTAGACATGATCAGTCATAATTAAAACTAGGCAGTATATATGCTCAAATGAAGTTTGACTTGGCTGTCTTCTTCTGTGACATTTTGTGTATTTTTGCTATAATATTTCTGCATTATTGAAAAATATCACATTCTAAAAGATTATGCACTGTAGCCAACAAAATATATGGGAAAAATACAGTTATGGAGATATCACACAAAATCAGAGCATTGACAAAAACAAAATTGATGTCAAAATCGATATTCCAAAGTTGATAGCAGTTCAGCATGACTAGAAACCACCTCAAATTATTTAACAGAGTGGAAATGTTGCTGAGTGAGCATGGAGATAGTACAGATGGGAGTGGAGCTCTGATATAGTTTACCATTCAGATGGGTGTAGAGGTAAGTGCAGTTTGCTATGACTCTGGAACTGTGTAAGTTTGGTGGTGTGCTTTTCTGGAAAGGGAGCTGTAGTGCAGGACCCATTTTAATAACTTTCTTAAAATAGTTTAAATCAAAACGACTTCATGATAAAAAAAATATCTTAGCAAAATAAGAGTAGAAAGGAATTTTCTTAATCTAATAAAGGATATCTAAAAGCCTGTAGCACACATCACATTCAGTTGTGAAATACTGAAAGCTTTACCACTGAGAGCTAAAAATGAGACTATTATAAAATAAGACATTGTGGTTTGGAGGCAAAGACAATAATGAAACAGAATAGAGGGTCCAGAAATAGACCATCATGTTTATCTTCCAGTGATATGAAAAAGGTGGTATTGCAGTACAGTGGGGAAATGATGTCCATTACAATAGGTGACACTGGACTGATTGGCCTGAAGATTGATGGCCTGGTCAATAAATGGTATTGGATCATATTGGAACCAGTGAATCTTGAACCTGACTTCACAGCATGTACTACAAACTGAATTCCAGATGGACGGTCAATATAAATGTGCGATGTGGAGCAGTTGTGCACCTTGAAGGAACCACAGGAAAATATCCCTTCTGGCTTAGGGGTGGACAGAGATTCTTTATTGATAAGTTGTGCTTCATTAAAATGAAGGTCTGTTGTTCAAAAGATATCATTAAGGAGGGCTTCCTTGGTGACTCAGTGCTAAAGAATCTACTTGCCAGGGCAGGGGACATGGGTTCGAGCCCTAGTCCGGGAATATCCCACATGCTGCAGAGCAACTAATAAGCCTGTCTGCCCCAACTATTGGGCCTGTGCTCTAGAGCCTGGGAACCACAGCTCCTGAGCCCATGTGCTGCTACTGCTGAAGCCTGTGCTTCCTGGAACCTGTGCTCTGCAACAGGAGAAGTCACCGCAGTGAGAAGCCCGTGCACTGCAACTGGAGAGTATCCTCCATTTGTTGCAACTATGGAAAGCCGGGGCAGTGGTAAAGACCCAGCACAGCCAAAAACAAATAGATAAAATTTAAAGAAAAAAGATACCATTAAGGAGAGGTAAAAGGCAAGTCACAAAGTGAAGGAGATGCTTGATAAAGGACTTATATCCGTATGGTATTTGTCTTTCTCTTTCTCACTTCACTTAGTATGGTAAACTTTAGGTCTGTCCATGTAGCAGCAGATGGCATTATTTCCTTCTTCTTTATGGCTGAGTAACATTCCATTGTGTGTGTGTTTGACATCTTCTTTATCCACTTGTCTGTCAATGGGCATTCAGGTTGTTTCCTTATCTTGGCTATTGTAAATAGTGCTGCTGTAAACATAGGGGTGCATGCAGCTTTTCAAATTATGGTTTTCTGCAGATACATGCCCGAGAGTGGGATTGCTGGATCATATGGCAACTCTATTTTTAGTTTTTTGAGAAAGCTCCATACTGTTTTCCATAGTGGCTGCACCAGTTTACGTTCCTATTAACAGTGTAGGAGGATTCCCTTTTCTTCACACCCTTTCCAGCATATGTCAGACAACTTTTTGGATTTCACTGGTATGAAATTAGAAATTAACTACAAGAAGAAAACTGGGAAAAAAAGAAGCCCACAAACATATGGAGACTAAACAATCAATGGATCATTGAAAAGTCAAAGAGGGATAAAGATAGAACAGTTCTAAGAGGGAAGTTCATAGTGATACAGGCCCACGTCATGATATAAGAAAAATCTCAAATAATTGAAATGCACATTAAAGAAACTAGAAGAAGAACAAGCAGAACACAAAGTTAGCAGAAAAAAGGAAATAAAAGATTAGAGTGGAAATAACTGAAATAGAGACCTAAAAACATAAAAAGGTCAATGAAATTAAGAGTTGGTCCTTTGATAATATATGATATTGTTGTTTAGTCTCTAGTTCATGTCTGACTTTTTCGTGAAGTCATTTACTGTAGCCTCTCAGGCTCCTCTGTTCATGGGGGTTTCCCAGGCAAGAGTACTGAAGCAGGTTGCCATTTCCTTCTCTAGGGGATCTTCTTGACCTAGGGATCGAACCTGCATCTTCTGCATTGGCAGGCAGATTATTTACCACTGAGCCACCAGGGAAGTCTTGAAAATATGTACGAAATAGATAAACTTTTAGCTAGATTCATCAAGAAAAAAGGAGAGAGGGCCCAAATAAAATCAGGGATAAAAAGGGAGAAGTTAAAACTGACACCACAGAAATACAAAAATTATAAGTGATTACTATGAAGAATTTATGCTAATAAAATGGATTTCATAGAAGAAATGGATAAATTCCTGGAAATGTGCAAACTCGCAAGACTGAATCAGAAAGAAATAAAATATATGAACAGAATATAGACTATATTACCAGTAATAAAATTAAATCAGTAATAAAAAACAACTTCTAACAAACAGAAGTCCAGGATCAGATGGCTTCACAGGTGAATTCTACCAAATATTTAAAGAATAGTTAATACTTTTCCTTTTCAAACTGTTCAGAAAGTTAGTGAGGAAGAACACTTTTAAACTCATGCTATGAGGCCACCATCATCCTGATAACAACCAGGTAATAACCTGATACACACACACACAGTTACAGGCTAATATCATTGATGAATGTAAATGCAAAATCCACAACAAAATATTATCAAACCAAATATCAAACCAAACCAAATACGTTGAAAGGATCATACACCATGATCAAGTGGGATTTATCCTAGGGATGCAAGGATGGTATAATATCTACAAATCAGTTAATTAGGTACATCACATTATCAAATTTAAGAATAAAAACCACATCATCTCAAGAGATGCAGAAAATGCATTAGACAAAGTTCAGCACCTATTTATGACAAGAACTGTCCCTGATAGCTCAGTTGGTAAAGAATCTGCCTGCAATGCAAGAGACATGGGGACGATCCCTGGATTGGGAAGATCCCCTGAAGAAGGGAAGGCCACCCACTCTAGTATTCTGGCCTGGAGAGTTCCATGGATTGTATAGTCCATGGGGTTACTAAGAGTCAGACACAGCTGAGTGACTGTCACTTTCACTTTTCACTGTCAGCAAAGTAGGCATAGAGGGAACCTACCTCAACATAATAAAGGTCACACATATTTTAAAACCCACAGCTAACATTATACTCAATGGAGAAAATCTGAAGGCTTTTGCTGTAAGATCAGGAATAAGACAAGGGACTTCCTTAGTGGCACAGTGGATAAGAATCTGCTTGCCAGTGTAGGGGACATGGGTTCAGTCCCTGGTATGTGAAGATTCCGCACGTCACAGAACAACTAAGCCCATCTACCACAACTATTGAGTATGTACTCTAGAGCCCACATGCTGCAGCTGCTGAGCCGGCACGGCATGCTGCAACTACTAAAGTCCTTGTGCCTGGAGCCTGTGCTTTGCAACAAGAGAAGCTACCACAATGAGAAGCTCGTGCATCACAATGAAAAGTAGCTCCCACTTGCTGCAATGAAAGCAAGCCCGTGCACAGCAACGAAGACCCAGTGCAGCCAAAACTAAATACATTTTAAAAATTATAAAAAACGGAATAAGACAAAGATACTCACCACTTTCATTCAACATAATGTTAGAAGTTTTTGTCACAACAGTTAGGCAAAAAGAAAGCACTACACACACACATAAAAAAAATCCAAATTAAAAAGGAAGTAATAAGACTGTCACTGTAGGTGACATGATGCTATCAATTTATATGGAAAACCCCAAAGACTTCACAAAAAACTGTTATTCAATAAGTGAATTGTTATTCAAAAATTGAATTCCGTAAGTAAATTCAGGAGAGTTGCAGGATACAAGCTTAATGTACAGAGGTCTGTTGCACTTATCTGTTTGAACAATGAAATATCAGAAATTAAGAAACAGTCCTATTTATAATTGGATCAAAAGAGTAAATACCTAGGAATAAATTTAACCAAGGAAGTGAAAGACCTGTACTCTGAAAACTGTAAAACGTTGATGAAAGAAATGGTAAACAAGACAAACAAATGGAAAGATGTACCATGCACATGGATTGGACAAATCAGCATCATTAAAAGGACCATACTGCCCAAGATAGTCTATGGATTCAGTGCAGTCCCTATCAAAATATCAAAGGCATTTTCGCAGAACTAGAACAGATGATCCTAAAATTTGCATGGAATCCAAAAGACCCTTTATAATCAGAGCAATGTTGAGAAAGAACAAATCTGGAGGTATCATGCTCCCAGGCTGAAATTGTACTATGAAGATATAAT